GAGATTTGTTTTAGGGTGGGTGCGTTTGTCAGAGACAGAAACTGAGAAATCTCCTCTCAGGATTTTGGGCATGCACGCATACACACACATGCACCTGGCCTGAGTTTTAAGCCACTAGGTCCAGGACTCAAACCAGTCTACTACGTTGGAGTCCAGTGATGTAACCATTACACCATCTGCTGGTCCCCAGAGTGACAAGTTTTACTTACAAATGTGTCTATACTTTCACTGACAAGTACTGGAAAGAACTGTATAGTAAGGGTAGTTAATTTATAAATTCAAAGCATGGCAGTTACTCATTATTTACTGGTACTTACTCTGCATTTCAAGGCAATTACGTCAGTACACATATCCATATTCAAACCCCAAATTTTATTTTCTCACTTACAAAATCTAAATTAATTTGTGTCAAATGTTTATAGGACAATCAGATGGAGGTGCCCAAGGAGTTGGAAATATAGATGTGGTTTTGGAAAATGTCAGTTCTGTAACTTGAGTCTCAAATGAACTAGAGAAAGCAAATGACAGATCAGTGGTTCTAAGTTGAGCAAGCTTCATCTCCCAGAACTTGTTAAACGGAGCACTGGGCCCTACCCCACAGAATTTCAGATCCAGTATGTCTGGTTTTCTAGCAGGCTCCAGATGCTATTGCTAGATGGGAGAACAGTTTGGCCTACATCCCCCAAGAACTTAGATAAGTGTAACATCAAAGATGTGGAACACCAAGGAGCCAGAATAAGGATAAGGGTTGGAGTCAGGTAGAAGAATGAGTAAAATATGACAGCAAAAACCTCTTGAAGAGAAAAAAATTGTAGGCTCTGTCAAACAGTATAAGAAGTTACATTGGGAAAAGGTCTTTATATCTATCAATTAGCAAGTTTTTGGTAATAACCTTTGAGAACTGTTTTATCACAACCATGGTGAGGGATACTACGATAAGGGAAGGCACTAGAAAGGATGCTTCATTAATCTGAGGTTTTAGGACCAGCAGTTAGCATAATGGCTGTCGCTGGACTCCCATGTAGTCAACTGCGGTTCAAGTCCCGGACCTGGTGGCTTAAACTTGCCAGGCACATGTGTGCGTGCCCAAGATCCCGAGAAGACAATGGAGAAAGGCCTGTGGCGTGGCCACTCCCCTGTGGGGCGTGATTTCTCACTTTGTGTCTCTCTGTCTCTGTCTTTCTGGTGAGCCCACGCGTCCTACAGGAACAAAACCTCTACCAAAAAAAAAAAAAATATATATATATATATATATATCTCTGAGGTTTTTCTAAGTCTATAAGCTGAAGTCAGGGAAGAAACGAAAAGGGTCAAAAACACAAGACCAGGAATAATCACTAAAATAAAAAAACAGAAACAGCCCTCTATTCTTTTCCATTCCTTTTCAGGTTTTACACAAGTATTTGGATCTTACTGCCCCTGATTCTCAACTCAAGGAATAGGGCTTTACAATGTTTGTCTCCTTCCCCAGGAGGGTAAGTACCAGTAAATGGTCCCTACCAACATCTATGGATAAAAGTTGATAAAAACTTGACTACCCCAACAAAACAATATACTGAGCAAAACATGGGGTTTGTAACTTTATAGAACATTAAGGGATAGTCCTATTTAAAATCTGAGGCTGAATAAAGGAGACAAGCCACAGGGAACTAGGAAAGCATTCCAGACAGGAAACATCAAGTACAAAGCTCTGAGGCAAGAAAAGTACTTGGCATATTGAAGATACAGAAAGGAAGTCAGTGTAATTGAATCTGACTTTGGGGCTGAAGAGGTACAAGATTAGGTCAGAAAAGATAGCCACAGGCTAGATGCAGGTTTTATAGGCCAGTGTAATTGTCAGGATATAAATGGTATTTAAAGCCGTGAAGCTAAACATGACCTGGAATATTAAAATGCTTCAGTATTTGGAGGTCGAAAGGACAGTGAGATCCAGCAGACCGTAGAAGATAAAAGGAAATGAGGTCAAATGTTCCAGAAGCTAACTAAAGCCAAATTTAATAAATCTATCTTTTCTCTCACCAAGTTAGCAGACTATAGTAATCAATGCTGAGACCAACATTTTCGTTCACTGGAGGTTCGGAATGCAAATTGGCACAACCCTCTAGGAAACTAGTTTATAAAACGAATCAAAATCTGGAAAACAAGGCAGGACTATCTTCAAAAAGTACATGGAGGGAGCCAGCAGTTAGCCTAATGGCTGTCTCTGGACTCCCACGTAGTCGACCGCGGTTCATGTCCCGGACCTGGTGGCTGAAAACTCACGCCAGGTGTGTTTGCACGCGTGCCCAAGATCCCGAGAGGAGAATGGAGAAGGGATTGTGGCGTGGCCACCCCTCGAGGGGGTGAGTTCTCGCTTTCTGTCTCTCTGTCTGGCGAGCGCACGCGCCCTATAGTGAAAACCTCTCCAAAAAAAAAAAAAAAAAAGTACATGGAAAGAACTATGTGTGGACTTCAAATTTATACTACACCAAAACAAACTCATGAAATTTCATCTGCTAAAAACTTTAGTCTCCTCGCTTACTCTTTAACCAGTATTGAGAAAAACCTTCCATTAAAGTCTACTAAAAACTGCTATGCATAATTCCCAGCACTGCCACTGATCCACTGCTGTGCTGTTACATCAAATGGAGAGCTCTCATTTCCTATCTGCCCCTAACAGCTTCCCTGAGCCAGTTGTGATTGTCACTTCCTTTTCTCAATGTCCACCATCACCAACACTCCTTAACTAAGGTATCTCATACCATCTTGACCTTTCCAGTCTCTAAACCTTGAGAAATACATTTCTGTTGCTCATAAATCACCCTAGTCTGTGATACTGTATTAGAGCAGGATAGATGGACCAAGACAAATGCTATTTCACCGTTTTCTGAGCCCTGTTCCATAAATGTCAAAAGAATTTGGAACTAATAACTTAAAAACGATTTCAAACAATAAGCATCAAAAGCAAATCCCTGACCCTAAAAAATTCAGCTATTTGATATAATCACAAGTGATCAACTTTCCCTGAACTTAACTTTAAATTTTTCTTTCCCATTATGATTTAGAACTATCTTTAAAGCCAGATAAACAGTATCTGACACTTTTCTAACCAACTAAGTTTTATTTGCTGTATAAACCAAACCACCTAACATCTTTCAGGTGAAAAAATACTAAATTTGAATAAAGATATTACAAAGATGAATTAGAGCCCAATAAAAATTAGCTTCGGGGAGGGAACGTAATTCTACTCAATTAAGGCAAACATGTTTATAGACCACAGATTAGTTTATTTTTAACACCCATCATGCCATGAATTCATAGGGAATAGGTTCCAGTAGCTCAGGCTCCTTTCCATTGGTTCTCACAAAGTGTGCTTCTCTGGGTGGAGCAGGCTATTAAAGAAAAAGAAAAATTATGTAAAGCACTAAAATTCCCCTTAAAGTACATGTATGAAATAATATGTACTCAATTCTAAGGCTTTATATGAAAGTATCAGTGAGCAATCATTTTACATGTTCCCCAACATCTGGGCCAGCTACGTGGCATAGTGGTTAGGATGGTTGTATCCCACCATGGCTGACCATGCTGTGCAAGTCCTAGACTCAGCAGCTTGAAATATGAGCCTGGCCCAAGTGTCCCAAGAGGAGAATAAAGAGAAAACAGTGAGGCCAGACCTCCCCAAGGGGAAGAAAGGTGATTCTTGGCTCTCCCCTTCCTTCCCCTATGCCAGCAAACACATGCATCCTATAGCAAATGGGGATTTTAAAAAAAGTTCTCCAAGATCAATACTAAGAACTACCTGTGCCTCCACCATGTCAAGTCAAGCTCTCACCTGGCGCTTTAGTTGAACCCAGGTACCTTTCTCTTTGGCTTCTTTCTTTTTCTGGTCATTTTCCTTCACACGTTTTAGGAAGCTATCTCTGCTCTTAGAATGTTTAATATGCTCAATACGCACATTGATTCTCTTGGCAAGAATCTTGCCCCTAGAAAGAGCAAGAAATTCTTGTGTTTCATCAAAAATGTTTGTCACTCTCACTTATTAATTTGTAATTTAACCAAAACCAGATAGCTAATAAAATTTAAACATTAAACTTACCTTTTTATGCTATGAAAACTAAAACTGCTTAACAAAATTGCTTAACAATTCCACTAACTCTATTCCAATTTGTTTCCTTTGACAGGATACAAGACAAACACCTAGTTTGCCTGAGTTTTAAAAGGACATTTCCTTTGCCCCATTTGAATGGCCAATAAAGACATAAGTCTAACTGGCAAAGTGAAAAGGGGGTATGAGGGAACATTAGTTACCAAGAACTGTGACACTACTTACTTAACTTGTTTGTTCACAACAATGCCAACAGCATGCTGGGTAACATTGTAGACTCTTCCCGTTTTGCCATGGTAACATTTGTGGGGCATTCCTTTTTGAACAGTACCCATTCCCTGTTATGGAAAAGTAGACAAAATTTGTAACCCCAATTTCTCCTACAATCTTATTATTAAAAGTGGCAACTCAAGAGCTTTCAGAGCCGGTGAAATGAGTTTTTCACATTGCTTCAAGCAATCAAAAAGACAATCATCATTAAGCTCTAAAGTGCCAGGATACAATTAAATACAGAAGAACAAACCCCACTGGGGTTCAATTAAAATAGTAATCTTCATCATCCTCAATAATTCAATCTTGCACTAAGGTACGTATTTTATAGCAAACTCATGCGTGCCCAAGATCCCGGGAGGAGAAGGGATTGCGATGTGGCCATCCCCCCGGGGGGTGATTTCTTGCTTTCTGTCTGTTTCTCTGTCTGTCTGGCGAGCGCATGTGCCCTATAGCAAAAACCTCCCCCCCAAAAAAGAAAAACAAACAAACAAAAAACAGTCCATCTAGGGACCAGGAGATGGCATAATGGTTATGTTGCTGGATTCTCGGAGTCAACCATGATTTTGAGTCCTGGATCTCACGGCTTAAAACTTATGCCAGGTATGTAAGTGTCTAAAATCCCGAGGAGAATGAAGACGGGATTGCGACGTGGCCATACCCCAGATGAGGAGGTATTAATTTTTTGTTTTCTCTGTCTCTCCAGCGCCAGTGAGCAAACACATACTATAACAAAAAATCTCTTAAAAAAAAAAAATCTACTCTTAGGAATCCATGTTCTTAGGAACACTTCATTCTGGCAGATTTTCTTTCTAAAATTTAGAGGGATGGAAAGGATCCAATAGATTAAAAAGAAACTAGTACCTGAATTCCAATATAAGATTATACCTAACTTTTATAGGTTCTGTACTGTTAGTTTCCCAATCTTATAACTTACCTTAATGTCTACAATATCACCTTTCTTGTAGATTCGCATATATGTCGCCAAAGGAACAACTCCTACAAACAAAAAAGAAAAAGGGTATAGTATAAATATAAACAAAACAAACATGTTAACTTTCCTAGTTTTCTACATACACATTACCTTTGGCAGGCATGTAAAGTTTTAAATGTTGCTAATGAGCAATCTCTCTGTAAAACATCATTCCACAAAATCACAGCCTAACTTAATTGTTCACCAATTTTAGCTACAAAATGTTAGGAAGATGCTATTTAACGTCATTTAAGAACATTAAATGAACCATAACACAAATACATTAATAAAAACATATGCCATGCTTGCTCTAAAGGAAAGTAAACCTACTTACCATGTTTTCTAAAAGGCCTAGAGAACATATATCGGGTGCCTCTCCTCTTTCCCAGAGAACATATATCAGGTGCTTCACCTCCTTCCCTTTGTGTTCGTCATTTTGGTTAATTACTGAAACCAGAAAGCACAGAAATGGTCAAATACAATAGAAAATTGACATTTATGCAACAACAAAAAATCTCTTTCAAAATGTTTGCAAAAAAACATTTTAGGTCTAGACCCAACACAAGGTGTGTTTATAATACTTAACTCAGAACCATGTTTTAGAGCACATATCAAAACTACAAAGCTGCATCAACTAGGACCTGTTATGATATAACCTGCAGTTTGTTCACTCTTGATAGCTCCCTGCAAACATCCACAAACAAAACAAAAAATGGGTAACCACCATTAAGCTGTTACTGAGTACTTTCTCACCTAAAGTTCTAAAGTAGACACAGGCCTTCCGGAATGCCTTCACTGAACACATGATACTCTAAGCTACAAAACAGATCAAGCGTCTCGGTGGAAATAAATACAGCGACCTTAGAGCACTTTCTCTTTAACCAACTTTATCTGAAGACAAGGTTAAAAACTCGAAACAACTGCGTGGCTTAACTATATGAGTGGTCTGGGGTTCATCACCCAAGGTCGACTCGGGGTACCAGGCCCATTCTCCAACCACCAGCCCAAGCTTCCTTCAATATACATCTAGGCCTCCCCCAAAATTAAACTTGACGTCTGGCTTTAAACGCGTTCTTACTACCCTGAAGTCCCTACCCGCCAGCAGTACAGGCTTCGGTTGGGGTTGCGGGGTAAAAATCTCCATGGAGAGAACTTTGAAAGTCGTCAGGTCACGCGGCCTCACTCAACCCGAGAGGGCCGCCCAGAACGCTGGAGGCCAGATCATGGGGACTTAAGAAAAAGAAGCCGTTTTCCAGGTTAACCTGAACCGCCTCACCCCCAGTGACTTGGCCTCAGCTCTCTCGAGACCGTCACCCCAGAGGAGCGTGGCACTGCAGTCCGGTCCTCCGCCCCGGCCCCGCCGGCGTATCCTCCGGCCTGGTGGGACATGGTCCTACCAGTCCACACCAGTGGACACCAAACAGGTTAGGCAGTCTCTCTAGAGTCGCCATGCACGGCCTCATCAGCCACCGGGGTGTAACTGAAGTGTTTCGAATACCGGGCGCGAGGAGCCACGCGCAGGCCCTACCTGGAAGATGGCGGTTCCGGCCAAAAGGAAGGGGGCGGGGCCGCAGCGCGCGCCTTACAAGGGCCTACGGCCTGCCCGCGGCGCTGCCTGTAAAAAACGCTAGTCTGAAGCGAGTCTTTTCTGGAGCGATGAAGCGTCCCTGATAACAAAGAGAGTCTATGAACGCATTTTATTTCCTTACAAAAAAAAAAATGCCACTGGCCAACACAAGCCGACACTTGCATCTTGTCAGACAGCCCGGAAGGGGGCCTTCCAAGGCGTCAACCAGGACGCCGACGTCTCGAGCGTGCTGACGTCCGCCCCTGCGTCAGCGCCCACGCTGAAAGAGGACCTGTGTGTGCGTCGTCGCCTGGCGGGGCGGTGGCGCGTCCTGCAGCGTCAGAGCCACTTAAAGTAGCCGCAGCTCTCGCTCGTTTGTGTGCAGGTATTATCACGTGGGCCCAAAAATTGAGCGATAAAGAAGGAAGCGAGTCATTTACTTTGTATGAATTTTCTAGAGTCCCCTTCTCCCGGCCAAGACACATATATACACATACTGTGTCTAAACATGGGAACCTGCCGGTAGGTGCTCAAATTTGGTAAAACTACTTTGGCGAAATACAGTAAAATCGAGGATTTTCGAATCCTAAACACTAGCTTTCCTCTCTTAAGTATATGCCTTATAGAAGTTTTGATACACGGAGGGACCAGCAGCTAGCGTAATGGCTATGTCGCTGGACTCCCACGTAGTCGACCGTTCTTCCAATCGCAGACCAGTGACTTAAAGTCATGCCGGGTGCGTGTGCGTGCGTGCCCAAGATCCCGAGAGGAGAATGGAGGAGAAGGGATTGCGGTGTGGTCATCCAACCTGGGGGAAGATTTCTTGCTTTCTATCTCTTTCTGGTGAGCTCACGTGCCCTGTAGCAAAAAACAAACAAAAAAATCTCTCCAAAAAAATGAAGTTTTGAAGCATGGAGAAAAGTGAACATAACATCTCTGTGTAGAAGCAAAAATTTAGAAACATCTATCAACATAGTAAATACCTTATGAGTAGTTGATAGGGTGGACTATAGGCTATTTAAACAAGACAGCTTATAAATGGACAAAACCTGTAGAAGAATAACCAATATGACAATTCATATACATACAATTTTATTATTTTAATTTGCCCGAGGGGACGTGTGCTTGTCAGGGGCGCACACACACACACACACACACACACACACACACACACACACGGAGAGAGAGAAATCATCCCATCGAGGATTGTCATGCCACAATCTCTTCTCTTCCTTCTATTCCTCCTTTCAGGATTTTGGACTGTAGAGTCTAGGACTTGAACTGTGCAGTTGACCATGTAGGACACAGCTGCCTTAACCACCACACCATCTGCTGGCCCCAGGGTGATCTTTTGAAATGTAAACCTGAGGGCCAGCCTGAAGCCCGAGTTGGATCCTGTATGGTCAATCCCACAGTTTGAGTTTCCAAAGCCATGAAACACACTCCAGGTACCTGTACAAATTAAGAGAGGAGGAAGACGTGGAGAAGGGGTTATGGTGTGACCATAGATATGCTTTCTCCCTCTCCTCTCACTCGGTCTCCCCGTCTCTGCTAAGCACACAGGCCCTTTGGCCAGTTAAAAAAAAATAGGTGAACGTGATTATATCATGCCTTTGGTTAAAGCCACCCGAAGGAATTTTCAGTGCTCTTAGAGTAAAACCTAAACTTTTTACCTTGACTTACAAAGTCCTGCATGAACTAGTAATTTACTATCTTCCACTTCCTCCTGCACGTCATTGTAGCTCCATCTTCCTCCTTCAGTTTGATAAGCAAATGCTTCAAGCTCATTCCAGCCTAAAGATTTTTATACATGCCCTTCTCTTGCCTTTCAGATACCTTGATCTCTCATCTTGCTTCCTTAAAGAGACTTTCTAATGGGAGTTCTGCCTGAAAGATAAAAACGTGTGGGAGTTTAGAGGAAAAAGATTGGAAGAACATGCCAAGTAGAAAAAATGTGATGCGTGCTGGTAAGTGCAGCTACAAGACAAGAATGATGCGAAGTCAAGCAGGA